GCAATGCCGAACGTGCAGTGTGAGCTTGCGCACACCGGCCCATCCGGCTTTTATCTTACGAACATGCTACACACCCGCCGAACATCGTACGATGCTCCGGTGGGTTTGCAAACATGTTCGTAAGTTTAAAGTCGTGCGACCTTACAGTAGTAGAGGTCGCACGGCTTCCACACACCTTACGATAATCGTACGATCGCGGGATTTCCCGCGATTATCGTAAGGTGTGTGGGGATCTTTTAGTCCTGTAATGGTTGCAGGAGATCTAAATCCTAACTGGATGATGCTTGGGGGTTATAAAAGTTGTATGCTGTACGCCGAGTGGATGCCATTCGCACGGCACTAGCGCCTCTTAGTGCCATGAAATTCCTGTGCACGTCAGCGCCGTCTAGAGGCACGAGTGCCATGTGAATGCTGTCCGCCCATGGTATAACTTTTGTAAATGAACGCCCTTGTTGCTCATTTGTAGGCTCAGCACTGTGATTGTGTCGGTGCAAGTCTGCCTGCTCAGAAACTATTGTTATCTCGGCAACCTGAAATACAGGTAGATGTATGTTTGTCAGGGCTGGGCAAATCCCAGGAGCCAGGTCGCCAATGCTCCTTACAAATGACAGCTGGCGCCTAACTTTTGAGGGTTTTCTCTAGTTGTTAGAGAAGCTGGCTCCTAAAAGTATATATCCTGCTGGCTCCTGGATTGGACAGACTGGCTCCTGGCCACCCTGGTTTATGAACAGTGGTACATGGGTTGGTTTCAGTGGCAGACTTGGCACGTACTCCTCACACAAGGAGGTGAGTTTGGCATCCTTTTGCTTCAGTATTCCTGGCTGGGTGATCACCACGCTGAGGCTTCAACTGAGTACAGGCAAATGGGGCAACCCTGCTTTCTGTGGCAACACCCTCCACTGGGTGGAGGGTACTCGACCTATCCTTGCACTGATTGGTCGGTAAGGTGGTATTTGCACTGGTTGCATGCTGCTTGGTTGGCGTCCTCCAGGAGCATTTTAATGGGAATCTGCTGGTCACACACAACTTGGACTCTTAAGCTGACCATCAATTACAGCTTCATTGTACAATCTCCAGTCCAAAAATGTGTAATGTGAGTGTCTACCTATCCTATACCATCCAACCGGGCAGGTCCTTACACTACACAGTTGTTGATGGATCTAATGGGGAGATTGTACAATCGGATTGCAAAGTTCATGGTCATCTTTAAAGGCAGGACATGTCTGTGAAGGTTCTCATGTATCCAGGTCATGCTATACCTGGTGGTAGTTACTCACAGTCAACTGGACTTGTTCTGTTGTGGCTCATTCATATCAGTGGCATTGCCCAACACAAGAACAAGGCAATTTGCCTTTTGTCCTATGGCCTGTATGCTAAAAAGGATGCATCTAATTTGCTTCCTCCCTGCTGAGGATCTTTCACACCTCCTGCCTTGTTCTTGTACAATCAACATCCACCCCGACACATCCCATAGTGAGTGGATTAAGGTGTCTGATTTCCCTGTGGGGCGATATGTACTCAGCTATGTTCCTGAAATCGCTATTGGTGTGAAAGATTGTACAAGCAAATTCTAATGTATGGTCCACTTTAGGGCCGCGGGACACTATACTCTGCGACATTGTATTAAACTGACATAGGACTCATTTACATGGACTCAGAGGGACGTACACCATCAAGAAGGAGTGTAACCAATGAGGACCAAGAAGGACCTAGACCACATGTGTCAACTCAAGGCCCAGGGGCCGAATCCGGCCCACCAGGCCATTTCCTAGACTTCTACTTTCAGATCTAGGTATTAAGTTATTACTAAAACCAGTGATAATTGAATGTAGAGGCAATTGTGATAAAGATTAGATACATTTATATAGTCTTACACGCCCTATGAGGGCAGCCATAATGTTGATGCGGCCCACGATTAAATTGAGTTTGACACCACTGACCTTGACTATCCCATCCTCCCCCCTCTGCAGATGTGTACTTGCCAAGATCCAAGGGGCACAGTTCCCAGTGCTGGAATGCTCCCTCTGCTGGCCACACTTGCACATTACAACCCTATAGACTTCTATGGGGCCGTCTCCCAGATGCACCCAGTAGAGGGAGACTTACAGTGCTGGATATCAACACACAGTGGAGCAGCGGCCCTAGGATCTGGGTAAGTACGGATGTGTTGAGGGTGAGGGTGGCATTGTTTAGATCG